CATAGAAAACTAAAGACTAAGCAACACGAACCCCACCAAAAACTGGGGGTGATCTCAGGTGCTCCGGAAGGGTAAGCAGATCCTGCTCCACATGTGGCACCCGTCGTGTTGCTTATGTTTTTACAAATCCGGTAAATAGTCTAATTCGGTAGGTCACATTCGTGAAAAGGGAAGGGTATTGAAGTTACCACATAAGGAACATATCCGATATCATCTGTGAAACGGTTATTCTATAACGGTCAACCAACTCGTGATGGCGTCCGTAAAATTTACGAAGGGATGATTTCAACTTCACCATTTGGAACTCTTGGTTCAATAGCTTCCTTGTGAGCAGCAATCCTCTATCAAGGAAATCATGATAGGAAATACAAGCCCGGGAATATCGTATCAACTGGGAGATATATACTCCGTACGCAGGCGCTGCTGGAATGTTGCTACATAGAAATGGAAAGTTCACAATTGGGAAGCTGAAATCATCTCTTTTGTCGTAAAGTTTTGTTTTCAACCGACCCTCATTGTCAATTTCTAGATGTAAGTCAAGATATGAGGCAGACTTAACTGTATCTGTAGTATCCTTTATCTCTAGTTCGATGGGATAGATTCGTTCAACATAGTCACCAAATTTTGTATTATTTAGTGAGAGAACATCATCTATATAGCGGAACGTAAAGTTAAAGGATATTGCTAACTTCTTATCTTTCTTCCTAAGAAGTTCCTGTATGAAGTCGGCCTCATAATAATAAAAAAACAAGTCGGCAAGAAGAGGGGCACAATTGGTTCCCATTGGAATTCCGACAGTCTGTTGAAAAACACGTCCTCCAAACGTAACAAATATGTTGTCAATCAAGAAATCAAGCATATTGATAATGTCAGTTTCAGAGAATTTTTTGTTTGAATCAGAGTGATTCTTTACAAAGTAGGATTTATCCCTCCCCAAGACAAGATACTTGTATCTACGTTCGCCATTCTTTTTAATGAAACAAAGTTATACCAACTCTTTCAATTTGTCTTTTAGTTTGGAATGGGGAATACTTGTGTAAAGTGTAGAAAAGTCAAATGTTTTAATACTATTGCAAATGAGAGAGTCTTAGATTGTATGTACTCTAAAAGATCTTTGGATTTTTTTAGTATCCACATCTGATTCACGCCACCTCTAGAATAGGCAGTTTCACAATAACTTTGGAGCCCGGCTTTGATTGCTGATCAAATAGATGTTAATAATTTAGAAAGAGGTTTCGTGGAGCACTTGAAAGACCCAGCAATATACCGTTGTTTGTAAGGACACTCATGTAGTTTAGGTATCCAATACAGTGATGGAAGATCCAGATCTTCATCTTTGGTTGAAATTCCAAAGGAACATAGAACAGACCTATGATTATCCAGGATTTCCTCTTTGGTAAGTGTCGTGAGGGATATGTCATAACGGTCACCCAACTCGTAAAAGCGTCTGTAAAATTTTCAAAGGAATGATTTCAACTTCACCACTTGGAACTCTTGGTCCAATAGTTTTCTTGTACGCAGCAATCGTCTATCAGGGAAACCCAGATAGGAAATGCAAGCTCTTGGATATTGTATCAATTGGGAGATATTTACTCCATATACAGACGCTGCTGGACTGTTGCTTCATAGAAATTAAAGTTCCTAATTGGGAAGCCTGATATGGAATGAAAAGAAAATAAATATATCTACAAATTTACTTAGAATTAAAGTCAATTAAGCTTCTCTTTCATCCTGATAAGACTATTTTCAAGAAATTAATTATAGATAGTAATGAAAATCTGTGTCACCAAATAGAAAATGTCATTCTTAAGTATCTTCATTGAAGCTTAACATTTAAAGGATAAGAAGAATTTTCAACAAATCTGATGGTATTCATGCAGATTGAACTGTAAAAGAGAAAATATGGTATAATCTAGAATATTTTTAACAGCAATAATGTGTGCTTCCTCTCTTTTCAGTGCCATTTGTTGTTGGATTTTTTTGTTTGCTTGGCACCTTTTCATATGGAACGTTTGAAGAAATCAAACATAGAAACGTGGTCGCCATTTCTACTCGTTGTCTATCGGATACTCTTTTATTCTTCCGGGGTCTGCTACTTCTGTAGTTGTACAATTAACCCTATATTATATAGTGTTATGTCTTTAAAATTCAAACAAGCCTTAAAACAGACGTCTGCAAAATTATGTTGTCAGAAAATTCGAAGACAAAGCCAAAAGACTCGACGTTTTTTGTTCAAATTTGAACATGAAAATGGGCAAACAGAAACTACTTATACAGCTGTTGATCCTCTGGGGAATTATCGGAAGTCGTAAACAGAAATCAATGCAAAATAAAATGTAAAAGACAAGGTTATAGAGGAAAGGAAACTTCAACGCACGAAAAAGGCGAGTCCTTCTCCTTCAATTAGTGGAAGTTGTTTAAAATCTAAACAAAATGTGTCAAGAAGAAGAAATAAAGTTCTATGACAGCAACCGTAGTGCAACTCAGTTAGTTGTAGGTGTTTGTTAGGTTTTGACAGAGGGAAATTAAAGATGGTATGTAGGTGTATCACGGTGAGGTAATAACAGGAGTATATACGGATTTATATTTGACATTTCGTTCTTATTCACTCGTTTGAACTATAAAAAGACCTAATAAAGAATCAATAAAGAACTCGATGATATCCTTTATTATTTGGAGGCTTTCTGAATCAAAGTAATCCTTTTTTTGAATTTTGGGTCATCAATGCTCTTCATCTTTAGGCCTGGCACCTTTGATAACTATTAGCTTGTCGTAATGTACTATTGTATTGTTTATTTGTGTGTTTTTCTCTGTCCTGTATGTTCTTCCATTTATTTGTATTGTAGTCTTGTCATGTAATGTTGTCATTTTAGTGTTATATTTAACATTGCCATTAAAGCGGGAGGTTTGGCTAGCCACAAAACCAGGTTCAACCCACCATTTTTTCTTAAAATGTCCTGTACCAAGTCAGGAAAATGACTATTGTTATCTTATAGTTCGTTTCTGTGTGTGTTGCATTTTAGTGTTTCTGTTGTGTCTTTGTTCTTCTCTTACATTTGATGTGTTTCCCTCAGTTTTAGTTTGTAACCCGAATTTGTTTTTTCTCAATCGATTTATGAATTTCGAACAGCGGTATACTACTGTTGCCTTTATTTTTGTTAAATAAAATGCTTATGATCGCTTCCAATGAAAGTTTTTGTGATCACATTAAAGGGTTTAGGTTATCGAGTACGCTTGATTCCCGCTAATGATGCAAAAAAAAACAAAAAAACGCTATTATGAACAGAAAATCTGTTTAAAAAACAGTGGATGAAAAATGTTGGATATTTTATGCCAATACACTTCGACACAATCCTGTTAATCTCCTCTTTGTAGTGTTTTTTTCCATTTAAACCAGACAGACAAAGAGGACAATAAAATGAATGTATACGTCAGACTTTGAATAAGTACTGTTGAAACGTAAGAAAATAGGATGAAGTTATTTATATTTTACATTAAAAAACAGGTTTTATTTTATATTGAAAACTGTAGTGGCGTGATTATTCAATACTCCCTGATTCCTTTATTGCATATATTTATTTTGGATAACTATGTTTTAAAATGAACACATTTACTGAATAAAACGAGACTTCAATTATGGTGTTGCAAGACAGAGATATTGAATCATGCAGCTGAGGAAAGAACAACTTTAAAACAAATTATGTAAGAGAATATTTTGATATGAAAAAAAACCAACCCAGCAGAACACCGAAAAGTAAATACAAAATGACGTAAAAGGGTCAACATTTAAACTTTCAAAGCTTAAATAAGGGGGAAATAATGAATGACCAATTATACAGTTTCATTTGAATAAAAAACCGTTTGTATTTGAATAATAAGAATATTTGTATCATATAAGTAAGACATTATTACACATGTCTCAGAAAGCTTTATTGTTGTCTGTTTGTATTTACCTTTTAGGGATAGGATATTGAATTAATGTTTAATGACCCCAAGAATTCAGAAAATTTTGGCGGCGATTATCCTAGTACCCTATTCGTGGGCTCAACATCATATTTTCTACAACAATAGATAGCTAATGAATATCAGGGATCTCAGGAAGAAAGGAATGTATTACAAGTTTTATACCATCAGGTCATTCAAGTGCCCGGTTTATGAAAATAGCTTTTGAATCTCAGAGAGCATAGCAGGGCCGTATTGTAAAACACGTTAAATACTATCAGGTCATTCAAGTACCCGGTCTGTGAAAATAGCTTATGAATCTTAGAGAGCTTAGGAGGAATGTGTAATAATACAAGTTAAATACCATCAAGTCATTGAAGTTTCTGTACTTTTTTAAATGGTTACTGGATTTCAGATAGTTTAAGGGGTAACAGATGTAACACAAGTTTAATACTATCAGGTCATTCGAGCAACTAATTATTTAAACAGCAGCTGAATTTCAGGGAGCTTATGTTTGATTGATTGATTGATTGTTTGTTGGTGTTTAACGCAATTTCACCACATTTAACTGCTTGATTACATTACAACGGCCAGTTTTCATTGGTGGAGTAAGCCGGAGTTCCCGGCCAAAACACCGACCTTCAACAGGGAAAATGACTATTCGTGTCAATTATTCGGAATCGATTGTACCTTGCAACGGACTATTGAATATATTGGGGCTCAGAGGTAATGGATGTAGCACAAGTTAAGTTGATATCATCAAGTCTTTATTGTTATGATTGACTATTGTTCTTGTGCATGTCTGACTATATACTGTTTGACCACTAATGACGTTTTGATTTTAAGTCGCTTGAAATAGTTACTTAAAATAACTACATATGTTGTTTGTAGAACATTAATATATTGAATGGTTGGCTATCTCTCTGCTACATATAGTTGAGCGCCATAAACTGGGTGATCCAGCAAACTGCTAAGTTGCAGATTTTATCAAAAAATTAAAACAACATGCACATCTTTATATAAGATTTATTTCAACATTCTTTTTGTCGTTGCTTCCTTTAACATCTGCCTTTACTTTTCTTTGCTACAATATAAATATGCATTTGAAAATATAAATGTTAAACACAATTTTGTTCATTGTAAAAAGTTTTCTTTTCATTTCAATTCAACAGTATCTACATATGTACTTGATATATCACTGCGGGGTAACTACGATAAAAAAAGACGTCAATACACAGGTTAATTTCGTTAAATTCTTATATATGTTAGCGGCAATAAGTGAAATTAGGCATTAAGCTTAAATCCTAGGCAATAAGCTAACGCCTAGGCATTAAGTTATTGCCTGAAATTTCTAGGCATTAAGCTTATTTCCTGAAATCTGATGATGATTATTCAATTTATTGCCAAACATCATTTCAGGCAATAAGTTATTTTGGGATTTTTGTTTATCTTCCAAAAACATGTTAATTCGGTGAAATATTCTTGATGAATAATTTTTTAAAAATTATATTCCAAAAATTAATATAAACTGATTTAAAAGATCTTCATCGTTTAGTATGTTTTCGTATTCAAAACAGAACCTATTCGTATTTCATTGTAGTATTGCTCTTCAATGGTTGAGCCGGTTTGAGCTGGCTATGCAAACATTTTCTATGATTCCACTGTACCATTTCTTTCATTTTGTAAAAATTGTAACATGATAAAATGTTCATAGGGAAGGGAGTAGTAGTAAAACCCGTTTTGCAGAAGAGGCCAGGTTGATTTAATCGATTTCGAATCAAAGTGAGATGGAAACTATATTTTCTTATGGTGTACCAAGATTACCTAAATATATTTCTAGAGCTCTTACGTCAAAAAGTGTTTAAAAGGTGGATTCTAATTTAGTTTTTGTTTTAACAATATTTGGTGTGCCACATAAACAGCAAAGTGACATAGGTCGTGAATTTACAGCTTTGGTTATATCTGAATTAATGCTAATGTAGCCAGAACTAGTTATTGTTCACAGGAAGACAATACATCCCCAATCACAATGTAGTATTGAGTGATCAAACCGAAATATTCATGACATGCTTACTGCATGGATCAGGAACTACGAATTAACAGTGGTCAGTTGGAATCAAATTCGTCCATATACCAAACGATTCTGCTCAACTCAAAGGTATTGGACGATCACCAGGTACAAATGATAGAAAAAATTGAAACTGTGAAATAGTCTGTGCTATAGATCCGCGCCACTTCCCACAATACAATTTTCTATCGATATAAAAATAAGGAGATGTAGAACAATTGCCAATGAGATAACTATCCAACAAGTTTACATATATTGTGAGAGATTTATTCATGTTTTAACATCAATATTTTACTTATGATTTTATTTCATGTAATTGACATTCAAACTTCAGTTCTTATTATCTTATTATGTACAAAATGTATTTTAACTTTGAATAAATTTCTTTTTATTTACTCTCATTTTTATTTTAGGCATTAGCATTAATGCCTGGACATAATTTTCAGGCTTTAAGTTTAAATCCTAGGAGTAATGCCTAACATTATTTAGGCAATAGACTTACTGCCTAGGCGTTAGCTTATTACCTAGGATTTAAGCTTAATGTCTTATTTCACTTATTGCCGCTAACATATATACACAACAGAAGGAAATATGAGCATGAACAAAACAGAATCAAAACATGAGCATGTAACAAATCAGAATCAAAACATGACACTTTGCATCGATGTACAGATAGTGAGAACTCGTCTATTATACAAATCAAAATTCCATTGACAAAGTTAAATTCGATATGCCGATTGCTTATATCGGCTATACCCTTTCGGGGTTAAGCTTTATGTATCATTCAAAACAATCCTAATTTTGTTTTTCCGATTATCGGTGAAACTTATACTGAAACCAATTGGAAGATTGTCTTTATATAGTCTAAGTTGCAAAACAGGTTATACATTTGTATTGAGTATACTTTCGATCAAACGGAAATAGCAAATATTTCTCAAAACCTGAACATTTTAAACACTATGAACACACATCGATTGTAAAAAGGAGATCCTATAATTAAAAAAATAGTGTTTATTCAGTGGTCTTAAATATCGTAGAAAACTATCGTGTTTTATTTTCTTGTTCTTCTTTGTTTTTTTCATCTATCTCATTGTTGTGCAAAATGGTATATCAATAATACTGATTTTTTTTTCTCTCGCAATTTGACCATATCCATTAGACCTAATAGCTGCAAAGCTCCTTGTGAATTTCTGAATGCATCATACAACGTACGAATACCAAGCTAAACGTTGTATATTTTGGCTTAAATTTATACGTTTAAAAACATCTGTATCTTAACTGTACTGATTTTTTTAACAATGTTTATTTAGATACTAGTAGATTTATTCCCGATTGTGACATTTTTACTGACTGTGAATTACTCCTTTTGGAATCCCTCAGTTTTTGTTTGTTACCCTGGTTGTCTCCTCATAATCTAGTTACAAGATTTGAACATCGGTAAACTACTGATGCCTTAATCTATGTGTTCAACTAGAGCATCAATTGAAACCATTGAAATATGTCATATGAGAATAAAGTGATCAATAGGATCACGTAATATATGTGTAGCTGTTAAAACTTTGAAAAATAGCTCATGAACAGTTAATTTGATTCAAGTTGATACTACATGTATTCAACGAACTAACGTGAAGGCACCCAAATTGAACCTACATTTATTCAAGAAACAGACAAAAGTTTCCATTTTGTGTTTTTTTGTGTAGATGTATCCTTATTAACTATATAGTTCTACACATTTTATTTTGAATCCATACTGATTCATAGAAAAGTTGGTTTGAAGCGACCTCCAAACGATCCAAAATTCTGTTAGGAGGAGTATCTAAATTGCACCCATGCTTAACAAAACATCTGTTAAAATCGCATAACTGATGTTTTGCTTTATTTTTTCACATTTTTAACAATTTAACAATAGTCAATGCTTGTAATGCATTTTGTATGAAATAGTTATCTGTGACATATTTTAAATTCTCATTTTGAAAAGTAGACTTTTTATTGACGTCGCAAGCAACGTTTCCGTTTTTACTTATTTTCACTGAAGATTTTATTTGTTGATATATAATGTGACCGTTTTTGTCTTGATTTAAGTATATACAGCTATGTCGAAAAATATGCCTAATGGCAAATTATAAAAGTACGGATTGTTTTGTCTCGAAGAAAATCTATGATTCTATTTGTTTGTTTTTTTTAACACACACAAACGATGAATGGTCGGTGCCTAAGACACAGGTCCTCAAAAACAAAAAGCATTATGGATATAAAACAGTTGCAACACAAAATATCGGTCATATGTATATTTGTAAGATGAAAATATAAAAATGACAAGCGCACAAACTTTGTGTTACAGCCTTTTGAATTGAACTTTTTGAATTCATTTATTTTTTTGACAGCTGTTATAACATATACAAATGATTAAATGTTAGAAAAAATTAAAATACATATGAATTTTACAATGCCCTATTTTCGTAGACAATTCTGAGTAAGCACAAAACATTCTCTTTGCAAGATGAAAGATACTTACAGCAAAAGTTTGCACTGCTTGTCACAACATCCGATCTTACACATTTGCACCAGTTACAGCCATCTCTAGATCTAAAGGACTTTCCTGGTTTATAGTGACCTCCCTCAAAAGTACATGGTCCTTCTGAACAATAAAAGAAATACATTTTTGATGTCAGGGTTTCATGTCTAACGGCCTTATCTTAAAACATATTGAAAAATGTGAAACGACTGAGCACATTTTTGATCCTATTTCAGCCATTAATATCATTTATTGAACAGTGATAAATCTTTTGTTGTCGTTTACAAATAATACGGTGATCTCCTAAAAGTACATTTTTAAGAGACATTAGTCAAAAATATCATCAATGATATTTTTTATGGCATAATGACATATCTTACTTGTCATTATGAGTTTCAAGTATAGGATCGTTACAAATCATGCACTTATGGACCTCTCACAGAGTTTTTAAAGGATGTTTGCATACATTTGACATTACTCTGGTGATATTGCCACAACGTGGAGTATTGGATTTGACGACCCCAATTTGACTACGGATTTATTCATCCCGCACCCCCAAATCGACGACCCTCACTATAAAATACTGTGTTTATCGTGAATGATGAAAAACAGAAAAATCAGACAAATCTTGGGTTAAAGTACGTCTTCAAAAAATAAGACCAATCAAACAAACAAATAAACACACTCGAAAGTTAATTTAGGGATATCAAAATAAGGCAATTTGGATTGTTATTTTCTAATGAGGACCCAAGGAAGATAATCATTACTTTATATCTATATATTTCTACACAAAATGACTTTTGTTAAATTTTTAACCACAATGATAGATTTACAACGGATTTTAATATATTTACGATTTATGATTTTCTACGTTATCGAAGATGTACAAAACTGACTAGGACCTATGTTTGAAAATATTTCAACAATTTATTCAAGGTCACCAAATATCCGATAAACAGAACTTCACGGAAAATGTTTCCCCATTAGAAGGATAGAATCGTTGTAAGGGTCCTGTATTTTAATAGTCATCAATATAAACTATTTCGGTATTTACTAAGTAATATAAATGTAATAAATGTTAACCCAACAAACACGCACGGTTTTCATATTTCCCGAAAGATACATGATACTCACTACAATTCATGGCACTGCACTCAACTTCTCCAGAGGGTAAGCACTCGCATTTGTTACATCCATCAATTGCAGTGAAAGCTCTGCCCACTTTGTATGGCTGTCCATCATAAAAACAAACAGGTGGAGCTAGAAAATGCACATTACATATGATCACAAACAAGTAGAGCTATGAAATGCAAATAACGTATCATTACAAACCGGTAGAGCTAGGAAATGCAAATAACGTATCATTACAATCCGATAAGGCTAGGAAATGTTGATAACGTAGGATTACAAACCGGTAGAGCTAGGAAATGTTGAAAACGTAGGATTACAAACAGGTAGAGCTAGGAAATGTTGATAACGTAGGACTACAAACAGGTAGAGGTAGGAAATGTTGATAATGTAGGACTACAAACAGTTGGAGCTAGGAAATGTTGATAACGTAGGACTACAAACAGTTGGAGCTAGGAAATGCAGATAACGTAGGATTACAAACAGGTCACAGTGGAGCTAGGAAATGTATATTACAAATTATTTTAAACAGGTAGAGCTCGAAAATGCAGATAACGTAGGATCACACATATGCATACCCGTTTATCAGTTATACGATATCACATAGCTTGCGTATAATATCATGGTTTCTTGAAAGAGGGTTGCTGTTTACAAGGAAGCAAGCAAATCGATGCTCGTAATAGTTTTAATATTCTTTCCTAATTTTTAATTTTAATTTAATTGAACGTTATCTGTGTTATACTGAATGACCACGGATATTTTCCACTCTTCGTAGTCATTATACCATCCTCGTTTCCTTGTTTTTCACGTGATCAAATGTAACAATTCAACGGAATGTTACTTGACATGAGCAACACGACAGGCGACAGGTTCCACTGCCATAGGTGGAGCTGAAATTGTTTACCCTTTCGGAGCATCTGAGATCACTCAGATTTTTTGTGGGTCATGTTGTGAGATCTTTAATATTAACGGTACCAATTTTACTGTACCAGATGTGCATTTCGACAATACATTTCTCTTCAGTGATGCTCTAGAACAAAATATGTGAAAATCCAAAACTTGCTTAAAAATGAAGAGCCTATAAGCCAAAAAGGACAAAAAGTAAAGCTAAAGCCGGACAAGGAACCAAAGCTTTGCATGAGAGAGGGATATTCCTTAATTTGAAATAATTTCCCAAATTTTGTAACAGCAAGTTTTGATAACCAATAAAATATTTGCTTGGCAAAATTTTGTGGACTGTTGTTTGTTGGACTTTTGGTCGTGGTTGTGTCCGTCTTCAACTTATGAGCCTTACTATCTTACCACCTGCTTTCAAGTTAAATATAGTTTTCACGACGTCACAATAAACGTAAAGAGAAGGGAAGGCACAAAAGGAAGCAATCAAAAGCCATAAGTCAACGAAAAACAAACAACACCATTGTGAATAAATGTGATCTTATGTCACAACTGAGAGTTGTCATAAAGATTCGTTTTTTTTTGCAAATTTTGTTTGATTTTTCGTGTATTTGGACCCGCAAATATGGAGAATCAAAGTACTTAAGAACTGAACATCGGATGAACGCAAGTTCTGGTGGATGGTCTCAGAAAAAAGTCATATCTCTATACATGAAAGTTAGGTTAAGGTGCATAGACATATTTTTTCTGAGACAAGTTCCTGTGTGGATGAAGAATAAATGACAGGGAATTCAACCTCACCGTAATAATTATTATATTGTAGTGATATAATCATTTGTTATCAGTATAATCTGGTTTGTTGTTATATATTATATTAATATTTGTATAACAGTTATATATATACAGTAAAACCTGTATAAACCGGCCGGCTATGGGACTATGAAAAAGGGCCGGTTTGGACAGTGAGCCGGTTTATTCAGGTTTCCGTTTTGACCGGAAATTAATGACTTGTCACGTCAAATATTTTTCATGTAAAAGTTCTGTCTGATAGTAAATTGTAAACTGAATACCGTAATACATGTAACTACGCACGATCGTTGTTTTGAGTCTTCGTATTCATTGCCTTTAGAAATTTTAGAAATTGATTGTTCCCCGAATTCAAAAAAATAATGTTTTAACCTTTTTTACATATCCTCGTATGTCAAATCGACCTCGGTAGCATCAGTCTCCGACTTGTCAGTTTCACTTTTACTTTGAGTTCATTGTTTTCATTTGCATCAGAATCCTCGCGTTATTTAAATTGTTACACGAGAGTTTCGTTTAACTTCCGTCGTTCATTTCCTACGTTGGTATAGCCGATTAAAAAGCCAGAATTTTATCAAATGAAATTTCTTCACGATCTAAACATTGTCGTACAGTGCACGATTACAATGGATTGTCGTCATCCGGGTCTTCTTCATTATCAAGGTTATTGGTTTCGGGGTTCACAACAAGGAACCCAGCATTCGAAAACACGATGTAAATTTCTTACTCCGCGATTTTAAAAAATCATCAAAATTACAACGTAAGTTCTATCGGAGATATATTCGGCGTTTCTTTTAGTTTTTTTTAATTAAAACTTTTATAGTGTTTTAATATTACAGCTCACTACTGTAAGTTCACGGTTTAACACCTTGCTCATTGATTATCCTTAAAAAAAAATCTTGTATAAACAATTATGTTTTGATTGCATATCGATCAATACAGTTATCATTTTAAATTAATTAAACAAACCGGTTTTGACAGGTAATGATTGATGTAATTAAGATTATTTGGACTGCATAATAAACCGGAATTCGGAATACATAGGGTCCGGTTTACAAAGGGTATTTTTACAAAGACTTTGAAGGGAAAAAAATGGGACTTCAGATTTCGGCCGGAATGGACAGGAATCCGGTTTATTCAGGGTCCGGTTTACTCAGGTTTGACTGTAGCAGATCATCTCTCGAGATATTCTTCCGCATGCGTTAACTCAAATTTTCGGTATTCATGATTGTTACTGATATACATATTTCTCACGACAAAACATTTTCATATCATTTATCTATGTTATTTAAAAATATTTTCATGAGTATTCATTGAAGAAATTAATTTATAACAAGCGACAAGGAATGTTATTTTGCACTCGATGATATCCGCGTATTTATACAAAATACGTTCGGTTTTATCAGTCAAAACCACATGGAAATTTCTGCAGCAACATAACACCGGTATGACCTCTCAAGGTCACATCCGATGTAAAAAAGGAAGATCCAATTCATTACAGTTTGTCTAGTATATGCGCTACATATATTTCCTACTCAAAATGTGATTAAAATCTATTTTTGCCAATTCTAATGAAAAAATTTAGTATTTGCCATCTTTTGACCTTTATAAAACCTTCGCATAGACAATTAAGTTATTACCACAAAAATCAAATGATTTTAAAATACTTCAACGTTTGCTTAAAAAGGACCGTCCTTGGTGCACCTCCTCTATAAGAAAATTCTTAAAACTTAAGATAATGTTGTCAATGGGGAAAAAAAAATTCGCAAGCAAGAACAACTACTTACATCTATATTTTGCGTTGACTGCACAAAGGCAAACAGCTGACAGAACTATGATAAATCTTTCTGCAACCATCATTTTTCCTTAAAAAATACCATTAATAATATAACTAAGATTTTAGAAATGAATTTGAAATCGTTAATAGTGCATGAATGCAAAGTGGCTGAAAGGTTAGCGTACGTGAACTACAGCTTGTAAAAATAATAAAAACTATTTACTTGATAAGACACAAACTTATTGAATGTCCACAACAATGTTTGAAGGTTGCAGCATGGACACATATTTATATGGTGCATTATTAATAAAATAATAATATATCATTATAAACAGAAATTGAAGGACCAAAATAAATCATCTGTCTTCCTTAAAATTAGCAACGGAATCGACTTAAATGAACATTTTTATGTCAAAGTTGTCAAAAAATAACAGATTAAAGAGTTTAAATTGCTGATTAAGTTATACTTCTACCTTTAATTGATATGATATATATGAATAATATGTGACAGTTTAAACTAATGAATGCCACTTTTGTGAGTCAAAAATTTCTTCATGATCAGGATTGATATAGTTCTTAGTTTTGACAAAAAGTTGCAACATGTATAAATTGCGACTAATTTATACAATGCTGACTTCAAAGGTTGCATGGGAGTTGGCCTGTCAAGAATATTGAGGAAAGTTTCAAAAATAATGACACGGTTATACGTGCATATACAATTACATGATTCAAAGTAGGCAATAACAAGGCATGTCTCTTCCATCAGAAAAAAAACCAAACGTGCTTATGGAATCAAAAATGTATCTCTGACGTATGAATACAAGAGATATTCCTTTTAAGAATGTGGTAAAAATGATATTTTCTTTCATACATAATGACATTTTCAAATATACTTGTTGGGTACCAGTCATCGTCAGAAATTGTCAGTTTTTCTTTGATATGACTTAACATATAATTCGTTTGAAAATACTCATTGTGCACATAATAAATAAGAAAGAAAGAAACAGATTTCAGAAAGAAGAATATTAGAGCCTGATGACAAAACCTTTTCATATTTTTTGTAAGCTCATTAAAAAGAACACTAAATCCATATGATGTGTGCTGCTGATTGATATTTTAGTCTTAGACACATGATTTGTATTAGTTGCTCTTGGCTTTGAACAAGCTTTCAGTAATTGCTAGTATTCTCAGATCTCAGATCTAAACTTTGTGTCTTTGCGTTTTTGTCAATTTGTGTTTATCGTATCAATCTGATGAGTTAAGCCCTTTTCAACTGATTTTTATGGTTGTTCTTATGTTGTACTATTACACCACTGTCCCGGGTAAGGGGGAGGGTTTGGCGCCATCAAACATTTTTATCCCTCCCACATTCTGTATGTGCTTGTCCCTAGTCAGGAGCCTGTAATTCAGTGGTTGTCGTTTATTGCTGTACATCATATTTAATTTTCGTGTATTGTTCTGTACTTAAATTAGGCCGTTAGTTTTCTCGATTGAATAGTTTTACATTTGTCATTTCGGGGCCTTTAATAGCTTGCTATGCGGAATGGGTTTACTCATTGTTGAAGGCCGTATGGTGACTTATAGTTGTTAATTTCTATGTGATTTGGTCCCGTGTGAAGAGTTGTTTCATTGGCAATCATACCACATCTTCTTATTT